GTATCCAGGTCAGTCTCTCGGAAAACGAAATTTGTTTGCAAATGAGTGTCCCTTTCTAATCTCGCGCAATTTGGTTTCAATTAGCACATAAAACTGGCTGAACCCCAGGGCCTGCGCTTACCTAATGAGCCGCAAGAAGGACGAAACCAGTCGTGGATTGTTGAAAAATTTTCAGCAACCTTATGCGTACTGCGCTACTTATATGGCAATATCTCGAATATCGTACCATACGAAATATGAGGCAGCCTTGTGCAACGCATTCAGTTGCAAAAAGCAGCATACGCGAGATATTCAGCTGAGTTCCAGGAGAATCTCTCGCAAGACTAAACTTGTTTGTCACAAGTTTCAATCATATCATATCTGTTTAGCTTGAATTCCGGTGGACTTATAATTTTTTTCCGAGTAAATTTAGGCTCCACAGGAAATGTTTTTTGTAGTTTACTAAGTCAGAAATAATTTGATGGAGAAACCGTTGTCATAGGGACTTCTGTCCCCCACCGTTTACTCCAAGCTGACATCCGTCAGCACATATGGAAGCTTCGCTGGCTCCACTGGAGGTTGCGGAGTTCTCAAAACAGAACCGCATCAAAAGCTTAACTTTGAACGCAAATGTTTAGACTGGTGACAGATTAGGGGTGCACAAAACATTCCGGTATTCTGCAGACGACGCCATGCTTTACTTTGTTGAAATTCACCTAAAGTTCATCCTTAAATTATGTGAAAACTGTTGAAGCGCAGGTAACCATTTAGAAACGAAGAAATTGTAGGCGCCATGTGAGGAACAGACTTCTGTGATGGTTTGATTGCAACGATACACAGCGATAGATGCTAACCACTTCAGCTGGATGTTCCACTGGCCAAATTTCAGCCCAAACAAAAATATTTGAATGAAAGTTGGACGTAAATTTGACATAGTTGAATGATTTCGGGCCGTCCATCCGTTTCTTCTAAGGTCAATGTCCGTTGATTTGAGGTCAGGGTGCGACTCACATCAACGGATCGTGATAATGAAGAAGAGGGACGAGACAAGGAGGAATAGTTGGCCCAATTTCACTGTGGTGTTATATAACTGACTCTATATAATTATAGTTAACAATGTCAAACATCAGTTTGCGAATCGTCGGATGAAAACATTTAATTTTTATAAATGTGCTTTTCTCGAAGCAAGCCCACTACAATGACCGGCATTCATGTGGGATTCAAACTTCTCTGTACTCTCTCCATCTTCCGTGTTTTCGAAATGCTGAAGGGCTGATCAACGCAGTTAAAAGGACTGGTTAGCTGGTCTATCTTAAAAGAAAAGGAAACAAGGTGGACCAGCGTCGTGCCAGTCTGCTTTTAGCAGTAAGACTCGCAGAAGCGATTCGCTCAAATAAAAGCTTTTTGTTCAAAAACTATCGGTTGTAGGTCATTGAGTCACAGATTCCCCAGAGTCTGTGCAAAAGGCTCTGAGCCGAGAGGACTCGTAGCAGCTTGGTGCCCAGTCAAAATATCCGGCCCTATAGTCAGAAAACTGAAGAACCTAAAAAAAAACAAAGCAAACCGGGAAGTAGGCACCAACTCATCTCAGGAAAGTTACGACACTAAAACCTCCAGTTTTCATGTGATCATATGCAAAACATTCAAGTTACTCATCAAACGCCCCGAACAAGATATATTCATTACTTTGTTTGCCATAAGAAAAAAATGTTCCAGCACAGTAGGTCCTCAACCGAACATAAAATAACGTGTACGTTGTAATCTAATTGGGATAAAGTATCATCAATTTTGAGCGTGAGAGTTCTGTATTAGAAAATGCCCTCTTGATTTCTGTGAAGGGTGAAAATTGGGAGAAGTCATGATCTGTAAACGAAGTTCAATTATGTTACCGTAAAATCGAGAAATTATAGCTCCGCGAACAGTCCAACGAGGGTGAATAACGTTCCTGCGCCTGGGGTGCGGCTTGCCATAAACACTTCTGACCCTTTCCAAAAAACGTAGACGACCACTATCAGTATATACCCCTACACTGGATCAGTGAACTTCAGTGGGCTTCTGGGCACCCGCATAGTCTTCACTTACTGTAGTCGGCGAGCTGAACCACCTCCTCGTGGTGCCGGTCGGGTAGCCTGGACGTCAGTCTGGGTGAGCTAAGAGTTCAGCAGCTCCAGAGAGGGCTTTCAATGTTTCAATGTGCTGGTTACTTTCGACAAACTGTACTACGAATCACCTGGCGCCTCCGCACCAGTTCCAACCAGTACACAGGAGAGGCTCGTTGGGTTCACGTGTGAGGGATGTGGCAAGTGCTGCAAATCGAAAGCTGGCTTGGTAGCCCACCATCGAGTTCACGACAATGAAAGTGTTGGTACGAACACGGTTGCCCAATTGGCCTGCGCTGATTGTTCCCGCCTTTTTCCGACGAAGATTGGCCTGAGTCAACACCGCCGGCACGCACACCCCACCCAGCATAATGCGGATAGCCTTGGCCGAGTGAAGTATTCTGGTACCCGCTGGTCCCAGCAAGAGTCACAATCGCTCTTACGCCTGGCTAACAATTTATATCCACCTTATGGCACGCAAACCGAGCTGTTCGCAAGATTGGAGCAGTATTTTCCTGGTCGATCGGTTATTAGCATCAAAACCAGGTTAAGGGCGCTTAACTGGAAAGCACAACAGGACGAATCATCATCTGGTGAACCTGAGCAAACTATCGGTCAGACGACGACCTACTTATCAGAAGCCGATGACTACAGCGTCTGGTTTAAACAAACCCTGGATTGCACCGTGTCAATCTTGGAATCCCATGCTGACCGTTCGCTTGCTTCTGGCATTTGCCCGAGGGTTGCAGTCTGGCATCGTGACACCGGAGCAGGTCCTGTCGCTTCTGGACCTCCACGCCTCCAGGACATTTCCACACACCTAGAAAACTGTTTTCCGATGCCGCCGTCAGCTAGCCCATTGGATCCCGGTCAACCGAAAGCAGATCCGCCGAGCCAACTACGCCGCCACTCAGACCCTATGCCACCAAAGAAGGAAAAAGCAGCGTCTGCTGTGCTCGATGGGTCATGAAAGGATTTTACAAAGGTAACTGCGGCCTACCTATGGGCGCCGAGCAGTATTGGGAGCAAGTGCTCTCAGCTCCAAAACACGCGGATAGCCGACCAAGTCGCATAGTAGTACCATCCGACTGGAGCTTGATCGAGCCAATTACAGGAGAGGAAGTCGGCCGTACTATCCGTTTAATGGGCAACTTGTCTCCAGGCTTGGACAAGCTCACACCCAGGACGCTCCGCCGGTTCAATGCTAACGTGCTTGCTAGGTATTTCAACCTACTGTTGTTATCTGGGGATTGTCCCCCACGCCCTAGTTCCGAAGGTCACACATCCGACTTCATCAGATCAACTGAGACCGGCCTCCGTGACATCCATTCTTGTTCGTTGCTTCCATAAGGTGCTTGCTGATCGCTGGAGCCGTAGATTGCAACTGCCCTCACTTCAGTTTGCATTTCTGCATCGAGACGGCTGTTTGGAAGCCACATCGCTGTTGCATGCCCTGCTTCGTCACTCTTCAGCGACTGCTGCTAACCTCAGATTGGCGTTTGTCGATATCTCGAAAGTCTTTGATTCGCTTTTGCATGACACAGTCGTTAGATCTGCCGAGGCGTTTGGAGCTCCGCCACCCCTAGTTCGATACACCGCACAGTCGTATGAGAATGCCGTAGCAGTTTTCCCCATTTCCGAAGTTCACCGCCACAGAGGTGTGAGGCAAGGGGATCCTTTCTCCCCATTATTATTCATTATGGCAATGAATGAGGCTCTTGGATTGTCGATGCCGCGACGGGGATACCAGATCCATGACACCTTAGTAGATGGTTTTGCTTTCGCTAACGACTGGGTCGTGTGTGCAGAGGGTCAGGCACGCCCTAAAGAGAAGCTTGAAACTGGTGCGGTTGAGTTGGGAAGAGCTGGCATGAAAATGAACGCCCGAAAGACGAAAGTGATGGTTATTTGTGGGGACAGGAAACATCTGGCAACAGCAGTCTCAGCCGAACCATTTCACTTCGTCGAGAAACTAATCACTCCTCTGGGTCCGACAGACAGTGTAGCATATTTGGGCATTCCCTTTACCTCCAAGGGGAAAGGGGTCTTCAACCACCGACAGCACCTGCTCAAAATGCTTGAAGAAATGACTGGTGCCCCGTTGAAGCCGCATCCAAGAATGGATATCACGAGGAACTACTTGATACTAAGGCTGACATATTCGCTCGTGCTCGGCCAAGTCCACAGGAACACGCTCAAAAGATTGGAGAACTACATCAGACAATATATTCGTGGCTGGCTACGCCTACCGAAGGACGCCCCGATCAGCTACATCCACGCCGGTAAGCAACATGGGGGACTTGGTATCCCAAGTCTGAGTGCAACAATCCCGATGCAGCGGAGAACGCGTATGGAAAAGCTCCTTTCTACTCAGTGCCACGTACTACGCAATGTGATCAACGAGTCCGGATTCGGCAAAGTTGTTCGGGATCTCAGCCTTTCGATCCGAGGCGTAGACACCAAGGAAGAACTGGTGGCTGCTTGGGGTGACAGTCTGCACAACAGCGCTGAAGGTCGCGGTTTATGGGATTTGGCCACTTCGCCTCTCTCAAAACGATGGCTCATATTTCCAGAACGAGTGTTTCCTCAGATATTTATCCGCGGTATTCAGCTCCGATACAACCTGCTCAGGACGAGAGTTAGAAGCGCTCGGCATGGTCATGGTGGCCCGACGATCTTATGTCGTGGAGATTGTAACCAACCGGAGTGTTTGGTGCATATTTTGCAGTCTTGCAGCTATGCTCGTCTCAATCGGGTTGCAAGGGAACTCGGAAAACGTCTCAGTTACCTGGGATACACCGTCTTCGAAGAGTTGAAAGCACCTACTTCGTCGTCTTCCATCAAGCCTGACCCAATTGCTGTTCCGATTCGTTAATCGTCTGCATTAATTTTTATGTCTGTGACCATGCTCTTCAAAAATAAATGATGGTATATCAGTAATATTTCCACTGAAATTCAGCCAAAGTCGTCTCTAGTTGCAGGCTAAATATTTCCCGAATTAGTGATAGCGATCCAAGAGCAGCAGTTGCATCTAAAAGTACAACGTCGTGATTCTTCCTTTTTGACACTCACCTACCTGAATTAGTTATTTCAGCAGCAACGGGGCACAAACTATCGTGCGCAGCAAACAGTGAACACTTTTGAAAACTTTCGTCGGCGTACTTATGACACTTTTATGTACATTTTTGCCATTTAATCGCACACCAGACCCAGTATGACGGACACTGTGCCTGATGTACGAGTTTTTGACTGTGATAGCGCCTACCACGCCTTGAAGAGAGCATTAGTTGTCCTTTCTTCGGTTGTTGGTCTTTAGACGCGTGTCTCCATATCAAAATCTTTACATACTTTGGGATTCATCCCATCAGACTGGAACTGTTCTTGGCATGATTTCGAATGAGACGTTCCTCTGTTTTCTCCCATACTTCACTGATTGGTTTTTGACTAATAACCTCTGGTTTGTTTCCGGGTAAACTGGCAACGTTGTTCAGAGTAGTAACCGGATAGAAGAAAACTGAATTTAATTTAACTATCATTTGCATTCGAGCGGTTGGAAATTCCTAGTAGTGTTTTCCGGTCCTCATTGAAACATGGAAATGAAGAAGGTTCCTTTGTTGTCCAAGATGCACAGGGAATTAGGAATGGAAGGGAGATGTAAAATAATTACAAATTATAGCCTGAATAGTCATGATGTCTGGATCTTTTTTGCGCGAAATATAGGAACTGAACAAATAACGCACAGAAGTTTAAATCACAAACGAAGGTTTTTATGCCTTTGTCGTTACTAGTAGTTTTACTGCAATTCACAAATTCTTCCGGGAGTCGTGATAATTTTTTAAAAAAGGTGTACTGGTAATTGTTACTGTGGGAGCACACTGAACATGCACACCTTGGAGACAGTATACCGCGACGGTATTCTGAGTCAAACCTTACCACGACAACGTCGTTACATGGGATGCTGAATCGATTGTGTGTACAAGGGTACTTCCATTAACCCCAATTTAACCAGGTAACCTGCACTGTACAACAGTTATGACAGTTATATACATTTAGCTGGCATCAGCTAGAGATTGGACTGTGGTTTGGACAACCACACGCAGTTGTGATAAAGCGAGGTGTTTGTACGCTGCCGAGTATGCTTTTTTATGTGATCTTGAATAAAATCTGTTGAGATAATACTGATGGGCTTGGTAAGATCCATCGCCCAGCCTAGGCATAACGACAACAGAGTGAGCATCGGTGTCGCACCATATGAGCTTATGTTATCACCCGTCCATTGCCTTAACTTTTCATTGAAAATATGGTCTTCTGCATGCTTACATAAAATCGCAGATCACGAGCTGCACAAATGAACCATTTTTCTGGAACCCAGAGGCCAATATTACTGATTAACGTTCGTTGTCAGAAATTTAAGCAAACTTGGTTTAGGTTATCCTCTGGTAACTCACGATAAAGTTGGGAGCACAGGAGTCTCGCAGCCGCCCTCTTAGTTGGGTGAAAATGCTATTTGAAAATCCAAGATCTGATGGAAACATTACAAACGAGGGATGAAGCTGGGTTTCAGGTGAATCTCTCGCAAAGTTAAATTTGCTTGCAAATAAGTGTATCTAGCTACTGGGTTTCTAGTAGCACATAAGGTAGACGGAACACCAGGACTTGCACCTACTTAATGAGCCGCAAGAAGGAGAAGACCAGTCGTGGGCTGTCCAAGAATTTTCAGCGACCTTAAGCAGTGTAATTCGAATATACATGTATCGCAATATATTGGATATCGTACCAACTGAAACATGAGGCGGACAGGTGCAGCACATTCATTTGCTTAGAAGCATCATAAACGAGGGATTCAGCTGGGTACCAGGTGAATCTCCCGCAAAACCAAATTTGTTCGCAAATGAGTGTAATCCGATGATGGTTGGTTTTTTATTGTATCAAACAAAAGCAAAGGGTTTAACCTGACTAGGGCGCCTTAGTGCTCCAAACGTGAAATGATTTAGATGTAAGTTTTTGGGTTATGATCGGTTATATCCTTTCAATATTTGACATTTTTAAGCTTATCATTTTTGTTTCTCAGAAGCAATGTTCTAAAACATCAGTCATCTGGACAGTTCTCATCAATATGGTAAACCAGTTTTTAGGTGTAAAGCTATCCGTAAGCATCTCAAGTGCTAATGCCCAAGTGTCGTATGACGTCCGTTTACCAGATTGGCTGACCACAAGCAAATCTCCTAAAGCGTCTTGTTTCACTGTTTAGATAGTGCATAAAAAATCTAGCCCCTCGAATTTTATACTGACAGACTTTATTTGAGAGCATCTACGGTGATTTTCATAAGTCTCAACGCCTGTTCACAGGGTTTCCTCTACGTAAATAACAGAAAAACAATTTTCATGAATAAAGCTGGTTTTTGTTTTAATGAAGTCTGAAGAAAAACACATCGGTCAGTAAAGTAGATGCTCGACATACCCACCAATGTACGTACGAATGCAGAAGCGTCAATTTGCACCATTATGACATTATTTCAATACTCGTCTCGTTGTCGTTTTACGTTCTCTTAGGATATTCAGATGTGACTATTGAAGAACTTCCGGTATTCTCTTGTGAATATAATGACTAAAGCGTTTCTGAACTGTTTATTCAACGATGTCAAACGACCATTATTAGCCAGCCAAAATATTATCATGTTTCAATAAAGTACTGACATAAACTCGGAAGTAGAGCCTCATCCTTCTATAAATAATACCAAAGATTAGTTTGATCTGCGCCAGCTTGGGGCTTGAATTGTAGGGGGTAAGTCCGTGTTTGATAAGGCACTAACAAACGCAAGTTGAAAGCTAGCGATAGCACATATAATTCACGTTATTTCAGAAGAAAAGCGATCTACTATTTTATATGCCTACAATATTACACTGAGCCCTCATTTTCTCCTGTTATTGAAAGTTGAGTGACTTGTTTCAGCACTGTTGCATGTCGCCTCATATAGAATTCGGCAAATTTGCTAATCAGATGGAAAAAGGGCTCGTCAAAAAACATGGTAGAGCACATTTTTACATGATTTAAATCCAGTTGCAGGGCGGTTGTTACTTCTTTAATTTCCTACTGAATAACCTGCACTCTGGAAAAACTGAAGGTCGGTGCCCCTCCATTATATTACGCAGTGCATAATCAAAGCGTTTTTCTCACTGAAGGACGTCAAAAATATTTTTTTCAAAAATCTACTGACAATGCCATGCGAAAGTGATAATATCTTTTTAAGCAAACACTGATTTGATAAAGACTTACAAACAAAGATATTTGTTTGGACCAACCTAACAAACTTTACTGGGCCTTGATGATAACTGTACAGGTCAGGACCCCCTTTCCCATGCGGAGGACAGCCCAAAAAGCATACCCTGCAGGTAGGCGTGAAGAGAATAAAGTACAGGTGAGTCCCTCGGAAAGCAGCCTACCCTGGATTTGAAGGGAAAAGTTGAAGGGTGTAGACCATCCAAAAAGTTTACTGTAACGCTGCAATCCCGAACTGTGAGGCAAATACCTACTCAAAACTGCTGGATAGCATCATGTAAACGGAAGAAGATGCTGAAGAATGGTAATAATACCACCACCCATGCCTCTTAGAACACACCATATTGCGACACAAACAGCCCCAATAAATGCACTTTAAATAATAGCCCATCAAACACTCATTCACCGCTCCCCTGCTGGACCTTCCAGCGTGGTAACACAGCACCCAACAGCACCCGAGCCTCAGGCCAAGAGTCCATGATTACAATCAATTTTACAGCTGCTTTTATCAACATCTATCAACAGTTTGCCAACTCTGTTCATCTCCGTCTTTTGGGGCGACATCTGTTTTCATAAACAACGGAGATTCGCAAAAGTAGCTTTCTTGGCGGTGGTAAGATGAGAGAAAAGGAGATCACTGATGGACCTGTTGACTTCAGCAATGAGATGATAGATAACATCTCAGAAAAAATACCCACTGCCATTAGAATGTCTTACCAATTACTGAAACATTATTATTGTTAGAATTGAGTTGGCATTTGGCTACATTCTGAGCCCTCGCTTGATACTTGCCTGAATTTAAAACCCTTATTCTAGGTGAGGAAGATACTCTGCCGGGCAATTTTTAGAGCACGCAACGGTACAATCACCACCACCCCTTAAAAGAGACAGAACGGCTTGGCTGCCTCACACGAGGATAAAGCCACGATGCTTTACATCGCGACACATTGCGTCATTGGAACTAGCATCAAAGCGGCAGATCACGAGGGCTGGTAATACATGCAATCACACAATCCGGACCCGCAGGTGGTCTGTGCTGCTGAAAGGGGTGCAACTAGCGCGAAGAACGGTAGAGACGGATGAAAAGGCTTCCAATTGAGATGCACCTAGTCACTGTGTTTCTGATCGATAGAAACTATATAATCTATGTACTAGACATCCAAAATTTCAGCTTGCTGTGTCACAAAATGCTGTCCCATGAATACTTATAGATCTTCTAGGACAAAACGACGTTAAAAAGATACAGCGTGCCATACGCAGACGATACGATTATACCGGTGTTACTTCTGATGAAACATGCGAGTAGTGTATATTTAGTGTCCAGGCTTTGCACTGCATCCAAGTGAAGGTCATTTTCATTACGAAACTCGTGGGACATCTTCGCAATATTTGTGTACAACTGTGCAATTGTCAGTTAATATCCATGGAAGTTCAAGAGCACGCGTGAAAATGTTCAGTTTTATAGACTATGTGCATTGGAGATATGTATGTTCCTGCTTAATGACTAGTACCTGCTAGTGGATGATAATAGATGCCAATTGCTAGTAGATGGCTCCGTAGCGACAGCTCTCCTCCTTCAACTGGTAGGTGCGTGAACAATGAGACTTGATCACCCTTTGAAGTTTGTAAAAATGTCAAATTGTCAGGT